GCAGAGAGGGCACGGAGGGGGTGGAGAGGGACACGGAGAGGGCGACAGAGGCGAGGAGAGACGGGGCAGAGACGGGGAGAGACAGAGACGGAGAATCCAGAGAGGGAGAGGCAGAGGCAGAGCAGACAGAGAGGAAAGAGACAGGGGAAGGTTAGAGAAGCAGAGAGAAAAAGCGGAGACGGAGGAAAGGAGGAGAGACAGAGAGAGAGGACAGATCAAGAGAAGGAGCGAGAGATCGAGGGTGAGAGAGCGGGCGGGTGGGGTGGGGGGAGAGAAGGAGAGGGGGCTTTCACCGGGCCCAGGCCAGGGGCTGCCAGTCCCGGAGCATCGCACACACGGTTCCCCGCGCCTGCCCTGCCTCTGCCTCTCCTGAGTGTCCACCTTCTGGCCTCAACAGTGCAGCTCATGCAAGGTTCTCGGCATGCAAAACACAAGAGGGACGGAGCGGTGGGGGGTAGGGGGCTGACAGGGAGGGGATCCAGAACGGGCACGGGGGCTGGTTTTGCGCCCCCTCGACGGGACGGAGGATCCCGGCAGAGAGAAGAGAGAGGGCGGGCACCGGGAGGCCGGGCCAGGGCCAGCCTACCAGGCCAGGCCCCCCAGCGCGTGGGGGTGGGTGAGGGGATGGAGGGGGCACACGGCACACAGAGGGGGTGGGGCGGGGCAGGACAACTGAACTCAAAACTGAACCGAAGATCGGGAGAAAAAACAGAAATAAAAAAACAAAATCCACAAATGTCATTAGATACCAAAATCAAAAACAATGTCTGAACTCCTGGGGAACTGACATTTTTCTGTTAACATTTTTTCTTTCTTTGTTTTCCGGCCCTGCAGAGACCTGTGGAGCTGTCAGTAGCACCCGACTGTCTTTCTGTTTCTCTCTTTTCTTTTTCTTTTTCTTTTCTTTTCTTTTTTTTTAAAGTTCTGATTTTTTAAGTCCCTCTTGGTTAACGTCCACTTACCAATAAAGTGGCACTTCCTCCTTTAGTAGGTAAGATGTGTAAGAGAAGGGAAAAGTGTGGTAGCGTAAGTTCATCATTAGATTCACAAAAATGCAAGAGAGATAGAGAGAGAGAGAGAAAAACGTAACCACCCCATTCCAGGCCGAGGAGGCCACGCTGCCTCTGGAGGAAGGATGGGCAGCGCCCGGCTCCTCGGGCCTGAGCAGTCACCTCTTGGTGACCGCTGGATAGAGATGTCGAGTGTTTTTCCAAAAGTGGAGTCAGTACACAAGGATGGGGATACAGAAAACCAGAAAGGGCACCTGGTACCATCAAAAGGGCCCTGGCTGGGAACCAGGGGTCTGAGAGCCTGCCACTGCCTCACTGAGTGACCCTTGCCAAGTCACTTCCCCATTCTGGGCCTCAGTTTCCGCATCCACAAAATGAGAGGGTTGGGCTTTGCTTTCTGATGTCCCTTCCAGAGCAAATATTCCAGGATCTCCTGACCACCCTCTCAATCCCCCTCCCTCCACAGAACTGACCCTTCCTCCTGTCCTTGGGCTTCTATCCACTAACAATTGATAGCACTTATCTGTCTGTAAGTCTGTCCCTTAACCCCTCCTCACCCCCAGTCACCAGCACCAACTTGACTTTGAGCACCTCCAGGGTCGATTTGGTGCTGGAGTTGACTCAGTAACCTGTTTTTATCATAGTACGTGGCGTCTAGTAGGGCCTCAATGGGGTTTGCTGAGGAAAGAAGAAATGCCCTTGCAAGGGCCAGGGCCAAACCGGGGAGTCCTAGAAAAGAGGCAGGATCTGGACCAAGCTCTTTTGGCAGGAGGAGAAAGCAAAACCAGCTGCCATGCCTCAGGGTACCTTGCTGCCCAGGACTGGAAGGGGCGTGGCTTCCTTGGCATGGCCCTAGGTGCTTCCTCCTGGGGTGGGGTGGTGCCCAGACCTCTCTGTACAAGCCTGGATCCAGCCTGGGCGTGAGGTAGAGGAAGAAGTCAACCCCATGGTGGGGTGGGAGTGGGCAAGGCACAGCTAGCTCATGATTGCTGGCTGCAGCAGCCTATAAGCACCAGCCATAGCGGTGAGAGCAGCTGCTCAGAGCCAAATGGGCCATGAAGACCTGGGAGAGCCTGGTGTTTCTGTTTGGGGCAGAGGCAGGCATAGGTAAGCAAAATGGATATCATTGGGTACCGACGTGACCCTCTGAGCACTCTGACCTTCCTGATCTGGACCAACTCACCTCTGCTAGGAGAGATGGAGGCTGGGGTGTTCAGCCATGGCCTCTCTCAGAGAAATGGCAATCCATTCTCAGTAGACATCACCAGGAGACCCATGGCTCCCCTATCACATACCTCCACCCCAGTAGGTGGCCAGTGCCTCACAGCTCCCAAGCCCCCCGAAATAGGTTCTATCATCCAGCATCCTTTTCCCTACAGAAGAGGTAAATGAGAAAGAAGTCTCCAGGATCCTCAGATTTCTAAAGTCTTTCCTATGCCCTGGGTTGTCAAAGAGTGTAAAGTGAACGGATACCATCTGGGGGGATGGGAGGTCCGGAGCCAACACACAGTATGCCATACCCAAGGAGATGCTGGACCTTGCCTTTAAGAAGCCTTTGCTTGTGACTTTGGTCAGCAGTCAGCAAGGCAAGTGGGCAGAATACTAAACTTGGGAATCAGGACTTGAATGTGAATCCTGGCTCCAGCCCGGAACCTGGACCTGAGCCAACTGCTTCTGATTCCAGGGAAGAGGCCAGAGGTGAAGGAAGACCAAGGGTCACCATGTGCCTTCCCATAGACACAGCAGGGTCCTCTCCACTTCCCACTGTTGGGCTGGGAGTGGGCTGAGAGTGTTAAGAACAACAGTCTCATCTGGGTTTGGCGGATGTCCACCGGCCTCATGTTGCTGCCCCCAACCCTAGAAGTCCAAGCCCCCAGGCCAGACCCCCTGTGCTGATCTGGGTGCTTCCTGCCTGGCATGTCTTGAAGTCAAGCTCTTTCTCGTTTCCCTCTCACCTCCTTCAAGCCAAATGGCTGCCAGAGCCCAAGAGAGTAATTGGCAAAGCGGAACACCCTGGGATCAGCTCTGATATGAGTTTGCTGTGACACCTGAAGGAACTGACCAACTCTGGGAGCCTCAGTTTCCCCATTGGTAAAATGGGGGATAACTGGGTCATGGCTGGGTGGGCCTGTACAGGAGTTGAGAGGTTCTTTTCAGAAGACAACTGACTCATGGTCCCCTTAAAGGTGAGCAGGGTCAGAGCAGTGCAGGAAGGCCTAGGGCTCTGTGAGGTGTCTCCCAAGGGCCAGGAAGGAAGAGGATGGGAGGAAGGCTCTGCTGGGTAGGGTGGCAGATAGCACCTCCCTGGGGAGACTTCTAGAGCCAATCTCACCCTTATCCACCCATCCCTCCAGAAGCCCAGGACAAAGGGTCACCATGATCCTGCCAAAGTGTGAACCTCGTCCTCAGTTTGGGTCTCATTCTTCCCAGAGACTGAGGGAGATCCAGGCCTAGACACCATGGCACTTCCTAGCTGGACAGGACTGTGGTGGCCAGGGACCTCCAAACATCTCCTCCAGAAGCCTGCTCTTTGTGATTCCCATTCCTCTGGCCTCTTCTCCCCTCCTGCCCCAGCCTGGCTAATGTCTATTACCCCTCTATCCTAGCTCAAGGTCATCACCTCCAGGAAGACTCTTCTGATCCTCACCCTGAGTTGAGTGTGCCCTTCTACCATCCCACAGACCCTTGTTCCTTCCTCCCATATGCACTGCGCCAGGCTATGCCAGGGCCAGGGCTACCATCACCAGTAGGAGCTCCCCATCCATGGCTCAGCTTTTTCCCTCTCATTGTCCTGGGCGATCCTTGTCAGTCCTTCAGCCTTGCAGGTGGGTGCCGTGAACACAGGCCTGCCTGCCTCTCCGCTGGCAGGGACATCCAGATGGGGGCTGGCACTCTGTGCCAGCACATGCTCATCTAGTGTGTGCATGAACAAATGAGTGAGTGAATCAGTGAGTGAATGAGTGAATGAGGGACCTCACCTGCCTCTGAGCCCTGCTTGCAGGAGCCCCTCTGCTCCCTGGTACCACCTGCTCCCTGGCATC